AAGCAGTTGTGCTTAGCCCTCGTGGTTTCACCTTTTTCAGATCACGAGGAGCACGAGCAGCACGCTTGAGGTGACGAAGACTTTGAAGAGACAACATCGTGTACGGGGTTTTCCTTCTTTATATGTTTTGAATTATGGAACACGATTCCTATGTTTGTACGGTTGCACATTTCTAATTTGAACATGTGTGTTTTAAGACTTAACTATTGTTTAATTCCGTTGTGTGTTTAATATTAAAACGGTTTGAAGATTCCCATATTTTGGTTTCGTAATATTTTATCGCTTTCAGTCTATGTGGCGCACGGAAATCGGGATACGGATGTCACATAGGCGGTCTCTACCAAGACACTATGACTACCTATCTCGAATAGAGTTTGTTGATGATGTTACGAACGTTGGTGATGATTTCGGTTGATGATCCTTTTGTATCACGATATCATATGTCGAACATAAAGCATGAAAAATCCACCTTATATGATTCGACTACATTCTCGTTCACTGAGTTCGACTATACGAAATAGATGACGTTCGTCTATAGTGTGGCCACACATTTCTACAGTCTCGCTCACACGAGGGGCCCAACGATATCTCTCTCTTTTACGAGAGGTACAAATCCCATCTTGACTATCTACAATCCAGCACATGATACGTGTCGTACCTGATACACGCCTTTATAGTCCTCCTGTTACGCAGGACGTTTGACATATTCAAAGTACGCAACTCCTTATGTTGGATTCTGTAGATATCTCAGGTCACAAGATCCAATCATGGAACCGTCACATGAGATTCTAGTCATGACGCTAGTCCATGTGACAATTTCATGTGGGTCATTCCAGTATTCTATTCTCGAACGAATACCTATGATTGTGATTATATCCAATACCAATGATCATCTCTATGATCATCTATCACACATCATACTAGTCTTAGTATATCATTGTTCCTACAATGATATATGACTAGAGAGTTTAGTATTGTTCCTAACACTACATGGATTTCATAACATATTAAAGTATGCATAACATGTAATGAATCAAACACTCATCCATAAAACCATAGCAAGTGTCAATACATCGAATGTATCATAATAAAGCTCATACAATAGTATATCATAGATCTCTAAACCAACATTTTAGTGGTTCACTTCGGGAACATTTTATTCGGTATTCTAAATTTTGTACTAAATCAGTATCGTATATAATTCGGCTCGGTTCGATTTTTGTTTTTATTAAAAAATTTTAGATTTTCTTAAAAAAATTCTGTTTTTCGTGAATTTTATAATGTTCGATTTAAAAAAAAAAATCGGTTTTATAAAAAATATATCATTTGCAAATTTTGAACAATATGGTTTGCAAAAAATATCGAGATTTTCGATTCGAAACGATTCGATTTCTTGTAATTCTTGTAACCGAATCAAAACGCCCACACCTAATTTAAATTATTGCCATGTTAGGTATATAATAGACAAATTTGTGAGTACAATGAGTGAAGTCGTCGGCTCTCCTTGTGTCTCTGTTTTGTCATAAACCTCAATCTCATGGTCGTACCCTCAAATTCTCCTATTACATTCATGGGTGAGAATAGGAATGTCAAACGAGCCAGTTCGGACAACATCAAACTAGTTCGTTCCCAGCCAATTCATTTTCAGTCCAATTCGTTAAGCCCGTTTTTATACGGGAAAAAAATTCAAGGTTCGAACCAGATCGCTCGAACTCGCGAGCCAAAAATCATATTTATTAGGGTAAAATCCCTAAAAAAACTCCAACTTGCAAAAATATATACAAATAAACCTTCAACTTGAAAAACTATCATTCAATCTCCGAACTTGTAACTTGTCATTGAATAAAACTTCGAACTTGCAAATTATTGCTCTAATAAACCTTTGACCGGTTTGACCACAATTTCAGGCGATCGGAAATCTACGTATTAACGGATTATTGATGTCACTTTATACACGTTATCAATTTTAATTTAAAAAATGACATCAGTAATCTGTCAATACGTGGATTTTCGATCGTTTGAAATTGTGGTCAAACCGGTCAAAGGTTTATTAGAGCAATAATTTGCAAGTTCGAGGTTTTATTCAGTGACAAGGTACAAGTTCGGGGATTGATTGACAGTTTTTCAAGTTGAAAGTTTATTTGTATATATTTTTGCAAGTTGGAGATTTTTTTGGGGTTTTACCATATTTATTAATACTAGTAATAACACTATATTTATACTATTTCAATATATATATATATATATATATATATATATATATATTATATATATATATATATATATTAATATATATATCTACATATATATATATATATATGTATCTATAACTATAAATATAAGATGACTACAATTTATATTTTGAAAATAAATTTTGAATTACATATTTCAAATTTTTATTTTTTAATAAAACTTTTTTAAATATGAATTATGATAAAAAAAAATATAGTAAGAATATTGTCTTTATAAATATATAGGTATAATATAAAATTATTTTGAAAATGATGGGCATTTTTATTTTTAGAATAATTTTTATAATTATTTTTTAATAAAAATAAAAAAATTCTACAAAATATACCTAAAATCTACAAAACATTGGTTTTTGACTTTTACGTGATTTTCTTAAAAAAAATGACTGAACGGATTTTTAAGAAAAATAAAATAAAAAAATTGATTGGAATTTTTTAGTTTTTTAATCTCCAAAAACCGGAAAAAATGTTTTACCGTCAAGGCCTTAACCTTTGCTCCCTTAAAAGTAGGGGTGGACAAAATATCCGAACCAATCCGTTATTCGATTCGTATCCGAACCGAAAATTTGGATATCCAGAGTTTACGGATCGGATACAGATATTTATTTGGAGATATTTGTCGGATACGAATATTAAAATTGAATTATCCGATATATCCGATCTGATCCGTATTTTGTAATAATATTATTAAATATAAGAATAATTTGGTATGGAGATTTAAAATGCTTAATATTTACATATTTTTTAGGGTGATTCAAGAAAAATTTTATATATATTGAGGTTTATAATTTTAATTTTTAAATATTAAGATTTATTATGTTTAATGTTTTAAATTTTGAATTTTGAATATATTTGTATGTGATAGATTATAATTGTATTTGTATTTGAGTTGATTTGGAATGTTTAAATTATAAATTTTAAATTTGTGAATATTATTTATCTTAAATAGATTATATATTTTATTTACGTTTGAATTTGTTATCTAATTTAAATTAAAAAATTTATAATAATTTAGGTCGGATACGGATATCCGCAAATATCCGTGATTTTAACGAATATCCGAAGTTGCGGATATCCGAAAATTATGGATCGGATACGGATAATAAAATCGAATATTTGTGCGGATCAGATACGGATACGGATATCTCAAAAATTCTGGATATCCGATCCGTGTCCACCCCTGCTTATAAGAGAGAAAGGTATACTAAAATGCCAGAACATATAATTTCAAATCCAATCTCGTTTTTTTTAATTGTTTATAATGAAATTTTGTATGTGTGAAAAAATATATAGATAGATATGGTTATCAGAATTCAAATTTTATAAAAAAATAAGAAGTTAATAATAATTCCGTAATTTTTTTTTGGTAAAATGTGATTGAATATTCATATCTGTAGTAGCAAAAATTTACATCCAGTCTTTAACTATGACTGCTCGTAGCAACCTAATACAAGGAGATCCCATGACAAAATGATTCAAAAGCTGGACTAAAGTAACCCAGACGCTACAACAAAAGTTACATTCTCAAACGACCAGTTAGGAAATACCAATGCTCCAGCAGAAAATTGTTGTCTGTAGCCCTCCTCTCCTTCATCGAGAGCAGTAAGTTCTGCATCGTCTTATCCAAGCGCCTACACAATATATCTATCGGCTTCGTTATGTTCCGAAATATCCTGTTGTTACGCTCATTCCACAGTAGATGTACCGTCACTTGTAGGATCAGTTTCGAGAGAATTTCCCTGTTTTTGCCCCTGTCATTTCCAGCCTGAGTAATCCAAGAATGACAGTCGTATAGATTATCCGGCGGCGAACTCCAACAGCAAGAAGCAAAATAGAACCATAGATTGACACTATAAGAGCACTCGAAGAAAAGGTGGTGGTGGGATTCCTCCTCTACTCCACATAACACGCACTTGTCATCCGTTTGTAGACCCCATCGACGCAATCGATCCCTAGTAGGGAGTCGCTGCTGCATGGTCTGCCAAAGTAAGAATGCATACCTGGGTACAGACCCACGACACCATACCAAAGTAGGGGTGGACAAAATATTAGAGGTATTTTTAGAATTTTGAAAAAAGATCACGGATAATATTTTTTTGAAAAAAAAGATAATCACATAATTTTGGTAAATATAAAGGATGTTTCAGTAATTACAATAAATATCGGATGGTAAAATTATAAAACTCGAATGCGAATTCTGTTTATGGATGGATGCATTATCCAAAATATCTTCTTTTGCTAAAACTACTTCTACATATACCCTCTTTCAAATGTGACAATATAACAGTATGATGGTAATAACATTAAACTTATGGTGATCACATCAAGTCACCATGGTCTTACCTTACATATCACACTAATTATTTGGTAAAATCATCATAAATTTAACTATGTCTAATGTGAACTTGTGAAGGTGACCATATAATTATTCCTGTTATATAGTCATATGGAGAAAGTATATGTGGAAGTAATTTTAGCAAAAAAAGTATTTTGGATATTTTGGGATGATCTCATTTTAGAAATCTGAACTCAAAATCTGAAATAATTGTGATATCCGAAAACCTAAAAATTTTACACAGGCGATTTTGGAGATAAAAAAAAGATTAGGTTACAAATTACAAATAATTTGGAGAACTCTTACACTACAACTTGCGGACCAGCAAAACCAAACCAAGTCAGCTAAACCGGCTTCAACCAAGTCAATTACCCAACACCAATTCAACCGGACGAATAATGTCTACTGCACAAAAAAAAAAAAATCATATCCTCAATCAAATAACTCCGCTTCCAAAACTTTTTTTTAATAACGGTTCCAAGGAGCGTTTACACAAACTGCTCCCTTGACACAGAATAAATTTATTCCGTTACGAAATATTTTCGCCTCTCCTAGTTTAAGGACCAAAAAAAACAAGATTTCATCACCATCTTGACTCAGGGAAAAAAAACTGCAAAACCCCTCGAGAATCAATCAACGCACTTAGGCACCTCCGGAGCCGTACTTCTTGCCGAAGACGATGAGCTGCAACTTGTCGTAACCGGCGAGAACTCCGGCACCGGCTATGGCTCGGAGAATGTTGGCTCCGGCACCTTTGAACAGCGACTTCGCTCCCTCGTTCTTAAGGATCTGCGAGAAGGCGTCGAGTGAGCTCTTGTACTTCACAGCCTCTCCCGACGTCATCATCATTCTTCTCCGGACTGTGTCGATCGGGTAGGATGCGAGGCCCGCACCGTTTGTGATGAGCCACCCAAGGGCGAAACTGGCGAAGAAACTATCCTGAAATCGGCAAAACAAAAAACCGGGGACTCGAGATGTAAATCCGATGCGAGAAGAGAGCGAACAATCCAAGGTTACCCAGTAGAGGTGACCAACATGATTAATAACAAGATTGATCCAAACCAAATTCGATATAAATAATGAACTGTTATAATTTCACTAAAACCGGACAAAACAAACCGAAATCAAACAAAAAATAACTGAAAAAAAAATCTTAAAAGAATAATATTTTTATCCATAAAAAACAAACTCAATCGAAAATCAAACTAAATTCAAATTAAAAACCGAATGATTATAATTTCTGTAAAAACGAAATAACCAAACCGAAACCGAAATGACCATCTAGTTACCGGGTTTGGATGAGAGGAAAACGAACCTGCAGGTCGCCGGTGAGGAGAACAGGCTTCACAGAGTCGTAAAGACCAAAGTAGAGACCTCGGTAGACGATGATACCGACACAGGAGATGTTAAACCCACGGTAAAGTCCAGCGATACCGTCAGATTTGAGGGTTTTCTTGTATACATCGACAAGACCATTGAATTGTCTCTCGCCTCCCTTCTTGGCAGCCTTGGCATCGTTGGCAAGACGGGTACGAGCATAGTCAAGGGAGTACACAAAGAGAAGAGACGAGGCACCGGCAGCACCTCCAGATGCCAAGTTACCAGCGAACCACTTCCAGTAGCCATCCTTGTCTTTCTTGAAGTTGAAGAGCCTCTTGAAGTAATCTTTGAAGGCAAAGTTCAAGGCCTGAGAGAGAGAGAGATTAGACATAATCACACAATCATGGGTGTTTTTGGAAGAGAGAAAGAATGGACAAAACTTCTGGAACCTGAGTGGGGAAGTAACGGATGACATTGGCAGTGTTTCCTCTCCACAATGAGCCAAAACTCTCTTCCTGGATTGTCCTCTTGAAACAGTCACCGATACCCTTGTAGGGTTCAGAGAGCCGGCCAGCCTTGATCATCTCATCCTGGTTCTGGATCAAAAGCTTGACACGTTCAATGGGCGCAGCAGCAGTTTTGGACACAGCAGCAGAAACACCGCCCATCAGGAAATCGATAGCAAAGCTGGTGAACCCTTTCTCCGACGGAGCTGCAGCAGACACCGGGGAAGCAGTGGATGCCACCCGACTTGTGGGGACAAGAGGGTATTGGATCGCAGCATTGGAGTAGTTTCCATATGCAGCACATCTAGATGGCCTCTGGAAAGCCCCGTCATTAATGTCCTGAGAAATGCTCGACCTCAGAAACTGGCAGGCAGCCTTCTGCATGACCGTCGGGTGCTGAACCTGATCAACCATTTTGACCTCTGCAGGAATATACAAGTACTAGTAACAATCAACCTTTCAGGTTCAAACATTGCATTTAGTTCAATCGAAAACCATGTGCCACTCAAATTACATTTAAAACAACTAAACAAAAACAGTGCCTTGAATACTCCAACATCCGATCAGACAAACAAAACGACACAAACAAAAGAAATACAAAGAAGACATTCTAGCCAAAGACACATCCCGACTCATCAAAATAACAAGTTCAGACCACAGGCAGCATTTCCAATCATTGCATAAAGTTCTACCACAAACTTGACAATCAACAGATCCCATGAGAGGATAATTAAAAACCAACATGAGAGAAACAGCAGTGTAAGTTGTTGAATTCTAGATAGATAGAGCCAAGCAAACATCATCAATTCAATATTTTCCATTTCATTTTCCAATGGCTCGAGCTACACGACTGTGAATCTCAAACCCGAGATCTTGAACGAACACCAGAATCGATGCACATCGAAATAGACAATCCATGAATCGAACATAAAAAGCCTTTACTTGTCATATAAAATGGCTGGCCCAAGAAAACAGGAGACTTATATTCCGAAGAACAATAACTCTCGCTGGCCCAAGAAAACAGGAGACTTATATTCCCAAGAACAATAACTCTCGTACAGAGATCCACGACATCAGAGCCGACACAACTAGCAACTCAATGACATACAACATACGAAACACAGATTTAAACCACCACATCAAAGAAACACAAACAGATCTACGAAATGGAAACACTGAAACTCAAACAATGACACAGATTCAAATACAATCTGAAAAATTGCAAACAAATATCATATTACTCAACCGAAAAAATCCAGATCTAAAACACCAAAACACAGTACAATCTGACTTTCACCTTTTTTAGATCTAGACAAAGAAACAGATCGATAGATAGGAAACCCCAGAGAAGAACAGCAACGAAATTTAAAACAAATACACGAATATGAGAGAAACGTCTCTTACATTTGACGCAATCGATGGTTCCGCGGAATTCCTGGAGCTAGATTCTCCGCCCTTTTCTGTCGGAGCCCAGAAGCGAACGACGGAAGAGAACTTCTTTGTGGCCAAGAGGTGGAGGTTTGCAAACAATGATGGTTAGGCCTTTTATTGGCTCGAGAAGTAGGGTCTCAACTCTCAACATGGGGTGGAAATCATCATCTGTTACGCAGGTGTACGTACGCTGCAGCCATATAGCCGTTGGATCAAGTGATGGAGATGTTCTAGAAAATATAGGAAGCAGATTTGATTTTATTTGTAAGGCCACAATTACTGGTGTTGCCACAAAAAATGGTTGGACTTATATTGCATACGGAAAATGTTCTAGAAAATTAGCGAGAACATCATCGTCTTTGATTTGTAATTATTGTCAAGTTACAAACGCAGTCAAAGTGATAAGGTATTTATGTTAATAATGTTTATTAAAACGTAATTATTTTGTATCAATGGTTCTCAATTGATATATGTTTTATAATTTCATTTTAATAGGTTTCGCGTTGAGTTAATTGTTGATGATGGTAGAGATATCGCTTTCTTCACTGTCTTTGATAGAGAGATGACTAAATTGCTTAATGTCTGTGCTTCATAGACAATTGAAACTAACGTAAGTTATTTTTTATATTTTAAATTCATTTAATATTTTTTCTTTTCGTATACTATTCGTCATGCAGAATATTAATATAATATTTATGTATTTAATTTTTTTCACGTGTTCCAAACATAGGTCACTCATCTATCTGATGCCGAAAATTCCACAGATTTACCGAAGTGTCTTAAAAATATCATCGGAAAACAATTATCATTCCAAATTAAAGTGATACCGTATAATTTCTCAACAAAACATCATTCTTTCGCCGTGTCACGCATATTTGATGATGTTTCTAGATCCAAAGAGTGCAAAACTACGGGAGCAAATACCCCACAGTAATTAGATAAATATTTTTATTTAAAAAGTTTATTACTACATATATGTTATTGTTATCTTTGCGTTAATTACTGTAGGACATTGCACAAAAAAATTTCCAACAAATCGATGAAGATTTCCAACACATCGATGAGTCTCATGATACTAAAAGAGTTGGAAAAAACCAACGCTTCAATTAAAATCATTATTCTCTCAGATAAATTTTCACTTCACCTTGGCTTTCATATTTTTAGATCTGTGATTTTGAACTTATATGCATTTTCAATGATAAATGTCGGACTAAGGTTTTGTTTCCAAGTATATTTGGTTTACTGTTATGAGTAGTAATTTTATTTTTTATAGGTTATTTTTAATAGGGAGATTCACATATTAAATATTGAACTTTAACCAAATTTCCAAATTAAATACTTAACTATCCCACTTCCAAATTAAATACTTAACTATATTGAAATTCACAAATAAAAACTAAACTTTTCAAATTTTAACATATACCTAAAGGATAATCCAAAACAAAACCCTTTACTTTTTTTTTCATCACAATTTAAACCCTATACTTTTTTTTATCCAAAAAAACCCTATACTTTTCAAAATTTTAAAAATTATACACATTCATATACATATATTAATTATTATAAGCACAAAATCAATTACACATTTATTTTCCACAAAATTAATTGCACATTTATTTTATATAGTTATATGTATATATATGTTTTATATATATGCGTGATATATGTATTTTTTCCTAAAAAATTATTATATATATAAAAAACTATTTATTATTTGTATATTGTTTTATATATAAAAAACTATTTTCCAAAAACATATTTATATGTATATATATGTTTTATATATGTATGGTATATGTATTTTTTTCCTAAATTTTTTATATATATAAGAAATTATTTATTATTTTTATATGAGTTAAATTGTCCAAAAAACATGTTCTTGAAAAATAGTTTCTTATATATAAAACAATATACGAATAATAAATAGTTTCTTTTAGGAAAAAATACATATATCTTACATATATATAAAACATATATATACATATAAATATATAAAATAAATGTACAATTAATTTTGTGGAAAATAAATGTGTAATTGATTTTGTGCTTATAATAATTAATATATGTATATGAATGTGTATAATTTTTAAAATTTTGAAAAGTATAGGGTTTTTTTGGATAAAAAAAAGTATAGGGTTTAAATTGTGATGAAAAAAAAGTAAAGAGTTTTGTTTTGGATTATCCTTTAGGTATATGTTAAAATTTGAAAAGTTTAGTTTTTATTTGTGAATTTCAATATAGTTGAGTATTTAATTTGGAAGTTGGATAGTTAAGTATTTAATTTGGAAATTTGGTTAAAGTTCAATATTTAATATGTGAATCTCCCTTTTTAATATTGTCTATGCTCATGATAATATAACTTCTCCACTAGCATGGATTAAATTATTAATATTATGGGATACTTTTGATTATAACATCCCAGAATCCAAGGAGCCGACACACGTAAAATGCTATTAAGATAATATCGCGCCTAAAATCATGGATGTATTTGAAATAAAATCAAGAAATTGAAAGTTAAATCTAATATTAAACCAAGATAAATGATGAGACACAAAATAAGATATTACGTATTTAATATACAATCAGTTTTTTATATGAAATTCAAAAGTGTAGGATGGACTTTTTTTTATGGCAATAGATCAATTAACATATTGCCTATACATTATTATGTATATGTGTGTGTCAATGCGAGGGATCTAGAAAATTAAATTCTTTTGTTTTGCGCATCATTTTGTCGACCCATTTCCAACTGGTATTTCTACCAACAACATCGCGTACTGCTCTTCGCATATTTGTGCTTTTCTTTTTTAACTAGCTGGTTTCTTATATCTTGCGGGTAAGTTTCAATATCGTTGTTTTGATTGTTAGTTTCGGTTTTTTTGGATGTTAATTCTGGTTTACATCGGATTTAGGTTTATTATGTTTCGTTATTAAAACGCTTTATAGATTCCGATTTTCATCATGCATACATCGGCTTGGATTCATCGTTTTTAAATACATGAAATATTACACTTAATCAAATAATTTCTCCTCATCTGCACTTCCTGGACATCTACTTTTGTCTGAAGTATGATATAAGCAAGCACCAATACTTTTATATTCTATATTTACAAATATCTGCATAAAAAAATGGCTCAATAATATTCTGTCTTCTCTCTTTTTTGGGTAATAATAATATGTCTTCTCTTTACGAATCAATTTTTCTTGAAATTCACTCTATAATGAATTGTACTATTACATTCAATAAGTTAAAAAAACAAATAAAATACAGTAAATTTATTTAATACGAAACATTATATGTAATATGAATATATGTTAAAAAATGTCGGAAACTAAATTCATATAAACCCCGACCTAGAATTTTAAACCATAATATTTTCTGATTTTAATTTCTAGCTTTGTGTCTTTGAAAATAGCTACCCCTAATATTCTCTAACCAAATATTCTATATTTGATGTCGACATTTGCTATGCATTTATTCCGACAGAGAGTTTTTTTTTGTTGTATCAATTCGAAGTGTCCTGTTTAGATATATTATGCCACTTTATTTAAAAGGTTATATTCTAACGTTTTCTAAGTAATGGCTAAATTTTGTGTTTATATTGAAACAAATTCATATCTTTGTCTATGTTGGCATATATTGGTGTATCTTAATTGTTTATTTTTCTTTGCATTTTCAGTTAAATTATCTGTTTGCACTTGTCCTCGATTAAGGATTGGCGGAAACCCATAACAAACACGTCACGTAATCACCAAATATTGAGCAGAACAGAAACAGGTTTGTTATATATCTAAATAACTATTAATTATAAAATTTTAATCACAACTCAATTTCTAATTTTTTATTTTTAATCATAGGTGTATTGCTGGATTATATTGAATGTCGTCCATGGCTTGCCGACAAGTATCTTATGGTTGTTGATCCAATACATCCAATCTCATCCACAATGGCGAAAAATACTAAAGGTATCATTACATACATATATATGATTGTGTCTTTAAAAACACACTATATATAAATAAATAAAATATTATGTATTCTCTATTATTCGACAGTTTGTTAAGCACGGTTTAATTTAAAATACCAAATAATTTATTCTAGGGGAATGTGCAAAGAGATGTAGCATAAGACGAGCGATTGTATTGGCCAAGCATGCAATGCAATATAAAAAAAGTTTGAATTTTATGTTTCAGTTTTGAATTGTTCATATAATTAAGGTAGACTTTACACTACAAGAAAAACTGAAATTTGCGATACCTGTTGCGACCGAACTTTCAGTCGCAACTAAATTTGCGACAGACCGCGACTAAAAAGCGACACAATCTCGGAAAAATATCTCTGTCGGACTTGGACGCAAAATCTGTCGCAAATTTCCGACCGCTTGCGACCGTTATCTCTGTCGCACGTATTTGCGACAGAAACACGACGGAAAACGACAGATAATTTACGACAGATGGTCTGTCGGTATGTACCGACACAGTATGCGACAGATATGTTCGGTCGGGCTACGTGTACGACACATTTGCGACAGATGTTATGCGTCGCGGATGTAATGCGACCGATATGCGACACACTGTAGGAGTCGCTCAATATTTGCGACTGACGTGCGACTCACCGATGTGTCGCAAAATTAGGTACACACGTGAATGGTATGTCACCTAACTTTTGTCGCAATTCTGTCGCACTTCGGTCGCAATTCATTTTACGACAGAAAATATCGGTCGCAATTCCGTCGCAACTCCCTCCTATATATCCACCGC